AAGTGAAAATCTCAATTCACTATTACTCAGGTTGGTAAATTTCATGGACATGCTGTTGATAAAATTTATCATTGCTATAAATTAGAGAGGTTTCACTCACATGCAGTGTGTTCATTGAAGTATTTAGTGTTATATGAAAAAAGCACAAGTTTTAAACCCTCCCATCTGATAATTTTTAAAGTGAAATGGTGCGAGTTTCATGCCTTTTTATAAATTTTTTATTGTATAGGAGCTATTCAAGACCGTTGACACCATCTGATGATGTGCTGTTGGAGTCATGCCGAGAATTTGCGGTTGGAGTTGTTTCATGCCTGAAAAGTGCTTCCTTTTCTCCAATTTACTTGCCAATGCACTTGGATGTGTGGAGATTTATTGTTCACCAGAGAGGAAAAGAGTCGAATCATCGTGGTCATCTTATGCTTGAGAAGAATGATGTTTCTCGACTTAAATTCCTGCCCAATAACTGGTGGTATTTTCTGAATGAAAATGGAGAAGGAAAGGCTGTTGACTTTCCCATAAAGGTCAAACCAGTTCTCTCCTGGTCTCCATTGACATTTGAGTTGCGCAAGGGCAAACTTTGCCAGGCTCCGACAATGCCTTTGGAAAAACTAAAACTATATATACTAAAGAGGCCAATAATTTAATTTAACATAATATATTTCATATACAAGTATAGTTTCTAAATTAGTGTTCCGAAGCTGATTGAATAGCCATTTGGTATAGCTCTTGGAGCTGCTTTATATTCCGTGCTCTAGTTGGGTAACCCATTTCTTAACCCAAATCTCAAGCGGACTCATAGTGTGTACAGCATCCAACCCATTGTCTTGAGTATGGCCATTATTTTCAGGGGTTTTCATATTTTCCCGTCGTGCTGCCCTGCTCTCTTTTATTGTTGTTGACCAGTATTCAGCATTTCTCTTAGTGTATGGCCTTGATGTTCTCCTAAATTCCTCCAAGTTTTCGAGGCGTTTGCTTGCAAGGAGGACATCTTTTGCAGCATCCCACTTGTTAGACTTTAAAAGGTGAGTCTTTCTGCAGTCGTCGTTGTTTTTCTCTACTCCTAAGATGCATTGTTAAAAATAATTGACCGCATCAGAAAACAAAACAAGAATCTTGATTTCTTTGTTAATTGTTATGCATATATATATATATATATATATATATATATATATATATATATATATATATATATATATATATATATATATATATATATATATGTATATATATATAGATAAAGATAAAATAAACCTGGTTTACTTCATAAGATTTATTCACTACAAACTTGTTTCGTATGACAAGCAATGCTTGCCACACTCATCAGGTGAATTTAAATCCACCTGATGAGTGTGGCAAGCATTGCTTGTCATACGAAACAAGTTTGTAGTGAATAAATCTTATGAAGTAAACCAGGTTTATTTTATCTTTATCTATATATATATATATATATATATATATATATATATATATATATATATATATATATATATATATATATATATATATATATATATATATATATATATATATATATATATATATATAGATAAAGATAAAATAAACTTGGTTTACTTCATAAGATTTGAATAAATCAAAGATGTGAATAAAGATGTGAATAAATCTTATGAAGTAAACCAAGTTTATTTTATCTTTATCTATATTAGCTCTATACTTCGGTATATCGAGCACTCTACTCATATATGATTCTAAATACATATTTGGTATATATATATATATATATATATATATATATATATATATATATATATATATATATATGTACTATTTAAAGCACGCGTAGGAGTGTTTTATCACATATAAAACACGACGCGTAGCGGAGTGTATTATATGTGATAAAACACGACTACAAGTGCTTTAAATGGCTTAAAAAACGACTCATCTTATACGAGTTCATTGGCGAAGTAAGTTTTAAAATAAACTTTGTCTAAACCGAGAAAATCAAAGCTAAAGTTTATGTAAATTAACATGATTTTATATCACATATAAAACCACGACACGCTTATTATTTTTCTTTGTGTTTTGCTCCTGAATTATTAATGAGTTTTTTAAGTATATATATAAAAATTTGTCATGAAAGTATTTAGTTACTACCGTACCTTGGCCACTGAATTTCCTTATTCCTGAATGCTCTCTCATAAAGTATGGGATATGATAGACCATTAGATGCATATATGGTGTTACTTTTTTCTTACTATAACCATCACCTATTCCTTCCAGTGATATAAAAAGCTGGACCCATGATTTTGCCTAAGAAATGAAAAAAAATGCTGCCATTAGGATAAAAGAAATTAGCAGGATGAATACAAATTACTAAAACAATGTACAATTACATCACTGGATCTTATCAATTGTAAAGGTTTGTTTGATATCAGGCATATTATTTAGAATATTTAATACCATACCTTCTGAAAGTATTCATCAACTTTAGCGGCATCGATGCTTTTTGATGTTAGTATGAGGCAAAGATCATTGAAGTCCTAAATAAAATATAATGAAACAAGTCTAAAAGGCTTGTTAAAATTCCAGATAATTGGCTAAACGGGAAACACTACAATTTGTCTGACAATATTCAGTGTGAAGTGCTACAGTATTAAAAGTTATTATAATTAATTAAAAAAAACTTACATTCCATAGTTTAATAACACTATGTTGGATATTTTGATCAACAGCATCTGGATTGATTTACAAATTTTTTGCAAGCTTTTCAAGAAGTAATCTCTTATCTGGACCCATTAGACTTGTAAAATCATATGTTCCACTCCCACTACCATTAGCATTCATTTTCTCCCATATTGAGAAAGACACACCACAACTTCTTATTGCACATAAAAGAGCATCTATATGCCCAGTCATTCTCTGATTAGGAGGCTTATTGTGGTTGTCTTTTCCATCTAAAGACAGTGCTCCTAATATCAAGTTGTTCAGCAAAACATCTGCCAATATAAATTTAAATTATGTATAAGTGCCAATATAAATTTAAATTATGTAGTACAGTTACTATAATTTAAACCTCATCTTCGCAGTTCATGCAGTGTCGGAATAAATCAATTATCTATTAAATAAGTTATATAAATATTAACTTTAATCCTAAACCTGTGGTCTCTTTGTTTACACACAGAGGTTTGTTTACACACTGATTATTAAACAATTTAGTTTGAAAATGAAAAGTAAGACAAATGGAAAATTGTGTGGAAACATACTAATACCAAAGATATAGTGTTTCCAGATAAGTTAATTTAATATTACTCATTATTACCAGTGACTCGAAGCATCAAGTGCAATTCATCAGGGACAATGTTCCGCAGTCCAATGTTCAACAAAGGCGGATGCACACAAGAGTACGTTTGTTTTCTAACGCATTCAATAATATCTTCCAGGGATCTCACCAAAGGAATTTCCCAACAATAATTTTCAGGTTTCGTCATGTCATGTCTAAGGTAATAAAAGTTAACATAAATTGTTGAAGAACTGAAGTAACATATTCTTGGGTTTCATATGACTTCATAAATTTGACCGGGGGGGGGGGTCAACTTTAAATCGAGACATAGTCATCAGAATGAATTAATTGTTCACTGTATGTGTTGGCCTTGTGTTTGGTGGCAAATACATGCAATTTCCTATCATTTGCTCACTCCAGTACAACATAAGCATCAACACATTTTAGGTTGACCCCCCGTCAGATTCACTGCAAAATGCCGTACTGAAACTCAAGAATATAGATATATTTCTAACCGCATGTTTTATCTGCGCCATTTTTAACAGATTACCTGTGCTTTTTGTGAAGTTTGCACCAAATGCAAGAATGGTCAGATGTGGCCCCTTTCATGCCGCATATTTCCAATAGAAACTGAAAATTCAATAATCAAAATTACCATTCTCTGAATTTGTAAATTTAATGTACAGATGTATGAAAATTAATTATTACTTTATAATCACCCCCAAGAAACATATCCACCATTACATCCTGATCGTCTACTTTAATTTTTCCCTCTCTGGTAATTTTGTTGATTGATTTGAATAACTCAGAGCAAGAGCACTTCAGAAGCTCATAACTTTCTTGCCCTTTAATAACAGCAACTGTGTGGTTGCCTATAAATTAATAAAAGGTGCAATATTAATTATAAGTAATATAGCATGGCATTCAGAGCGATTAGTGATTAAATGTACCCGAAAGCCGAGAGAGGTTTAGTAAAAGCCCCGAGGCGCACAGCGTCCAGGGGACTTTTAATAAACCTCTCGAGTCTTGAGGGACATTTCATCACTAATCGACCGTAATGCCATGCTATCACTTTGTAATATCATAGCTACCGAGACAATAAAACGGTTTCCTTCGATTGAATAAGTTGAAATGAAAAGGTGTGCTTGCTTTTTGATACTAATGACTATTGGGATGTTCGATAATGAGGTTACGGTTGATTTTTCATGTCTGTTAAATATTTAATTGAACATCAATATAAGAGGTTATGCATAAAGATGAGGGACGATGAGTAACTAATCGTCCCATGGAGTGATTAATTTCTAATCGTCCCTCATGCTTTAGCAATGAGGTAAATTAGTCATTAATCGTCCCTCGCCAAACAAAGGAATTCGAGATAGCTATGATATTATATTTTATATTACCAAAATAATGACCAGGACATGTAGGACAACTAGTTGGAACCAAATGTTGGAATGAAATTGTAGTAACAAAATTGTACTAACCTTTTGATGACATTACATCATCACTATCAATAACAGAAAAAGAAATGACAACAAATGAAGTCTTGCGAGTCATGTTGGCTCCATCCCCACTAATTTTCACCCTGACTTTCTCACCATTTTCCACTTGGATTTCACCTTTTTGAATCTAGAATTAAATTTCAAGAGATAAATCAAAATGATTCAATAAACTCAATAAATTTCAAAGCTTAGTTCATATGCATTGATAAATTAACCCACCTTGTTTCTTAATACATCTGCCAATTCACTTTCAAAATCCAGTTGTGCTCCTTCAGCCTGCCCTGGTGTTCTGGAAATGTGAACCAATTTGTTTAAATCCTGCTTGCATTGTTTTATCAAATATGATCGTGGTAAATCTGCACCTGACTCTCCGAATGTTAACTCGTGGTATGCTGCCTCGCCAATGCAGAATCTATCAGTAATAAATGTAACCTGCTTTATAACATCCTTTTCGTCTTCGCTAAGCTTTTGGTAAGATTTGGAAGTGCCCTCTCTAGGTGAGCTATATTTTACTTCATGGTGCAAACCAGCCTCATCTTCAAATTTGATAGAGGATACATCCAAACCAAATGCTTTAGCGAACCATAAAGACCTTTCTGCTTTCGTCTTTAATTCCGTCATAATCCGGTGCTGCTGTCTTTGTCCAACTTCTGTAAATGTTTTCCTCCTCTTATCTAAATCCTTTCCATGCAATTCCTCCAGCTTCGTCACCAGCTCAAGTAATTGTTTGTTACTTTGCTCAAGTTCTGCATTTCTGTTCACTTGCTCTTCCAACTCTTCTTCCGATTTGCATTTCTGATCATTAAGAGTTTTCAAACTTTCGGATAACTGCTCACATCGTTCATTTATGCACCTATTTTGCTCAGAAAGTTGTGTCGTTTGGGCATGAAGTTGCTCCATTGTTTTCCTGGTCTCGTTTAAATCCTGGCTTTGAATTAATTCACTCTTCATGACAACAATGCGCCTGAAAAGGTTTGAGCAAGATGTATACTGTCGCCCACATTTCCCAAACAACTTACTTTTTGCCATGGAAGACAAAGCTCTGGCATGCTCTTCAATCCTGACACAGTTTTCCTTTAGGGTGGTTACATGCTGTTCCGCCAAGAAACGATTGATAATATCAACTAACTTTAATTTGCCTTCGGGACCTTTCTTCGTAGTAAAGTCATACCAGCTTTTAAGGCACTTGTTTTTAACTTTTATCGTAAAAGCAATGCCTTCCTCCTCTTCGCTACCATCGTCTGCATGTTGTATTAAAAAACAGTGTTGAAATTTTGCGAAATCATACGCTTTTTCGTGATTTTTTGCCATCCTACAAGCTGAGCTACAACCTGTGGAATTGTATTTACATACTTAATTTTCGCGCGTCCGCTAAATCCTACGAGGGTCTCCCGAGTTTCTTCCGTACATTTACGGCCACAAAGATACCGCTGCTAACAACAACTGCAGTACGGAGAGAGTGTATGTTCCAAGGAGTATTTTGATATATAACTCGGCTACATTCAGCGATTTTTGCTCGAGAAAAAAAAATTTGTATAGGAATTTCGCACGCAGCATCACAGCTCGTAATATGGGGATATTTGGCTTGCACCAAAGGCTAAGAATTCATATTTTGAACTGGATTTTGGAAACATTTGCTCAGGTTGTTTATCATTCAGATTTTTTCCTCTGGATAGAGGTAAGTTCGAAATTTATTATGACGTGAGTACAAATTCAAAATGTATGCCTTGGTTTGAACAATCCTGCATCATAATCTGCGTTTTATAGCATTTCACAGCAATTTGTAGGGTATTTATACACGGAATAGCTGTCAAAATCAGTTCTCCGAATGGAACAGCTTTGCGATGGCCTATCATTCTCATTTTTGTGTCATTCTCTTCCTTTCAATGTCAATATAACGAATCTGTGAGTACAAAATGAATAACTTTAAATTTAAGAGAGTTATTTTCGATAGTTTTCGTATTCCTAATGTAAATTTAAGTAAATTTTTATTTTGCTTCAATTGACATCCGCTGAGCATCGCGGGCTCAAATGTCTTAAATTTCTGGCCATGCGATAAAGGCAGTTTAGTTCTATAGTAAAAGAACATTTTAAAACGTTTTGTGAAGTGTTTGTGGTTGAATTTTACCTTAAATTCAAGCTTATATTACGTATAATAACATACCTAACATATATATGTTTAGGAAATTGATAATTTTGTAATTAAAAGTGATATTTATAGGGGATTTTTCATTTGTAAAAATATTCTTAAAAAATTGTCGTGTTACCATGACAACTACTTAAAATACTTCACGTTCGGAAAATAAAATGGTTTTGTCAGCAAGGCGAGGGTTTCTGCATGCATGTATTTTCTAGTTATATTTATATATACATGGCCAGAAATAAATGAGTACCTAAAAGTCATTAACTGTTAATGTCAAGTCTCACTCAGCTGGTTTGCTTTTAGTTGCTCCTCTTCGAGCCCTACAGCATTTGTCCTGTACCTTGTACTGCATAGCAGCTCTCTTTCCATAGACTGTATCATCCAGACCAAAAGCTGAAAAAATAGGAATTGATAAAATCAGATTTATTTAATATGTTTTAGATTTAATTGGCATTGAGACAGCAAGAATAATCCAGATAGTGTTAGGCCAAATAGGGAATTCCCTTATGATAGCCATGTCTAATAGATTACCAGATATATACTGGCTTAATTAACCATCTGCTAGATTACATTTGATTTAATACTATTTTTGTAAAGTATATTACAGGAGACAACTAATTAGGCCAAAGAAATCACCAACCTAATCTTTTTATATACGAGATATTATTATTTTTGCATATGAGATTAAATAGAAACCCAGGCATTCTTTTTTTGGACTTAGTATGAAGCATGGAAAGATAGTTAAAATTGTTTGGTATCAGACAGAGTAAATTAATTTAACAAGACAGAGCACATTAGGCCAAATTGCAGGTCAATGGGTCCAGCTACTGCCCTTCCCCCTGCATTATTGCAGGCCTTTGGACAGCTCTACCTGTACCATACTGTAATGACTCATTCATGACAGAAAATTGGCTATTGCACACTGACCCTTTATACTTCTGGCATAATTTAGATTATTAAAGCACTAAAATACTAAAGCCCTGTTGTACCCTATGCTCAATTTTTGGTATGGCACAGATAAAACTGGTGCCTGTACCAAATTTATCTGTGCTCGGCCTGTATGAATAGGTAGTCCAAGCATGGTAAACATGTTACAGGTACCAAAATTGAGCACAGTGTCAGTGTTAACAGGCCTTAAAATGGCTGCATTTGGAGGTAGACTTAGGATTCATGTGTAATTATGTTGTTACTAGTTATTAAATTTTTGTAGTGGCTGTTTATAAGATCGAGACTGATTTGTCTGGCCTGGGTGGCCACCTTAGCTGGGCCAGTTTGTCATTTTAACTAAAAGCAGACTATTTATTCTTGTTAATTCTTACCTTACAACACCAGTTTGTCAACTCAATCCAGATCTGATTGTTGTGACTTGAGAACAATATTTGTAGCTAGACTATAACCCAGTTCCATATTAATCTGAAAATATATAAAGAGAACATTAGGCATTAATGTATGTATGTATGTATTATCTGCTTTATCGACGTAAAGTTTTATAGGGGATATACAAACCAGCAAAAAAGCATTTTGAAAGCTTTACAACTCAAGTGTGGACTTTTTGAGAATTCGCACGCGGCAAGCAAGTGCGTTTATTCAATACACTTATTTCAAATTTCAAACCACAATATGTCTGAAATGAGTTGTCATTTTAAGACTAAATTGATGAAAATAGATATAACAGCGATTTTGGATATCCTACTTATTTAGTGTAATTTAATACTCGAAGTATTCTTGCCAAAAAGGTCAAAAAAGGTCATGTACGCACAATCTGGTGTCGTTTGAAACATACTTTAGCTAAAATAACAACTTGAACAAGAAGACCAACAATGGGGTCACGAAAACAGTCGAAATTGTGCCCAAATTTGCATAAAGAGTTTGTCTAAAAAGATAACTTTAAACTAGATTCAACCAACATTAATGCGGTCGAATTTTGTGAGTGTTTGATCTCATATTTCTACTCAAAAATACCCTTTAAAAAAACGTATCTGCTCACTTGTGTTCCGTGTTCATCTTTCTTGTGATTTCCGACTTCTATTTTTAATAAAGTTTGGAGAAATCCTCATCTTTTTGGCTGAAAATCTCGCGCATGGTTCACAGAAGAACTTGGCCCAAAACGTCAATACATTCGCTTTCCTTTCATGCCAAATTTTCGTTGTAGATCATTCAAAAACCTCTTCCTTTTTGCTTTTAAAACTTGCTGTGAAATCCTTCTTTGCAAGGGTATACATAAAGTGCGAGCCAGCGAGCCATGCCGATGTTGCGAGCCACCACAGATCGGTGTGAGCCACGCGATGTATGCGAGCCATGTGCAATAAATAAATATAAGAAATTGTTCTTGACCAAATGGTACTGAGTACATCTTATCCCCAGGACACAATAAACAACAAGTTTGCATATTAGACTGATTTTTGATCTAGGTAAAAAAGTAACTTCCCATAAAGAACTTGTTAAAACTGGTCAAAATGCAAAGTTTGGTTAGTGGGAAATGTTGTAGAATACGGAAGGTGTAGCCTTGCGGGGTTTGCATGCATGTTTTGTATATGTTACAAATTTGCCGAAAATGCTAACTATTTCCGCACATAATACTAACATATGCAAGGTTTGCAAAGTTGGCAAATTTGATTTCAAAATCGACAAAATATTGAAAAAATCGTTCCCAGAAAACAAAAGAAACACAAAATGTTGTATTTAACTTGAACGGTAGGATTCCTTTATTATTTTACTATGTCAAACATATTCACAGACAATTTAAAACTTATTTAAAACTCCAAAACATTCACTTCAAACAAATAGCAAAAACCATCCCGACTTTTGGGAAAAACGAAGCTGTGATATTCTTTAAAATCCATTTTATTTTGTATGCTATAGATTTCCCAATTTGTATGATACTATTTCTTTTGATATGTCATGTTTTCATTGTGCTGTATGGTGTTCTGACCGCTGTATTGTGTTTTCGAAACTTGTAAAGTAAAAAGTGTTATTAAAACTTTATTTTGAATGATATAGTTTTACATTTCATTTTACCAAATTCTTCGGCCATTTCCTGAAGGAATTAATGCTAAACAGAAACTATTTTTAATTCTAAGTCTGGTGAAAGAATCATTCTGTTATTGTGTTTATATTCCAAGCAGAAATCGAGAAAAACAACTTTGTAATAAAGCAATACAAAGTCACACAAGAAGCCATTTTGAAAGCGTGTGCGTACAACAAACACTGCAACACTATTAGTGAACAGGCCGAAAACAGTTTTATTTCTGAAATTAATTTAATTTAACTGATATTTGGATATTTTGTTTTATTCATTAAAGTGCCTATATCACTTGTGGGATCTTTACGGATTTGAAAAGAGTGCAAAAAGTTATTTAACAAGTTCTTCAACCTTTTTTGATTTAGGTCAATAGTTTCTGAGATATAGGCCCTCAAACATGGCAATTTTGACCTTGTTGGAAAAAAAATCCGTCGTACTAAATTTTGCTTGGGGGCCTGGGACTCAGGAACGCAAGCGTAAACAAACACTATAAATTATATTACAAATTGCCGCTATAACTTACTAAAATGATAATTTTGGCAAGAAAACTCGGTTTATTTAGCTCAAAATCGTCTTCCAGTACTGACAAAAGTTCATATACAATTGCGCGAAATATAAAATCGTGGTGAAACGCACAAAACGACTTCAAAATCAAATTTGAAAGTGAGCCTTCCTAAATGTCGTCAAGCATATTTGGCTGCATATTATTAAATTGTCAAGCATGAAAGAGTTGGCATACACGGAAGAATATGTTTTGAAAGCTAGAAGAATATAACAGGGATGTAAAGAAATTATTTATAGATGGAACGGGCATAATCGTGTTAGTTCTCGGTAAGTGAATCGAATATTTTCCATTTGTAAATATCGTGTGATAGTCACATTTGGCAATTAATATTCTGCGACTGCAAGTAAACAAACGAAAAATGGTGTATTTTAGATTCAATACTATTATAGCTTAACTATTGAAAAACACTATAAAATTTGATATAGACAAGGGAGGGATAACCGGTTTGATTTGCCATTCACAAAATATGCAGGAATTGATTCTGTTTGCCTCAATTGCTTTTGATCTGATCATTTGAAAAGATTTATTGCACAAACATGTGGTATAAGCTGATTCAAAGGAGAAGTAATTTTTGAGTCTTAACTTAATATTTTTATAAACT